TTTGCAAGTTAGGCCATGTTACTACGGTATTTCTTGAGGTGTAACTTAATGCAATATTTGCTTCATCATGTGGTCCCATTTTAATTGGTAAACATTCTAGGAGTCACTTTGGTAAAACTAGTGCAGTTGCTAGTGATGTTAAACTAGTCTTTGCGGGCACTCTTTTAGCTTGGAAAATGTTTAGTGTCCTGGCCGTATGATGATACTTGTGGCTTATTACTATCGTTTTTTTTCTCCCTTGAATTATTTTAGGCTACAGTTTCTGAGCTCTGGTATGTAGAGGAGTATGATCTCTTGGCACTTGCACTGAATGGAAGGATGCAGATCCGCAAGTACCAACTCAGCTGCTCAAAAGCCTGAGGATTCCAAAGGTCACACGTATATACTAAGGAAGTGTAGTCCCTTTCAAACAGTCTTGCCACTCATTTCGCTGTATAGCAAAGGCTGGCTCTTTACCACGGTCAGATAAAATGCTTTTCTTCTTTCGGTTGTACTTTCATGTTGCAATATTGACCATACATGAGCAGCACGATAATGAAATTCCAGGATCACCCACGAAATTCTTCACCTATGTATCTGAGTACTCATCAACCAATCATATTTGCGTGCCAAAACTTGTTCATGTTAACACCACGAGGATAGTTTTAACTTTTTTATTGCGTAAAAAGATGTACATACAGACCCCACAATGTGTCATGATTTGGTTTCATGAACATCTGCATTGTCTCAATTGAATCTCACATGTCACTGCCGGTGGTTTGATCCCTTTTTAGCTTTATGTTTGATGAATCTTTTCATCATGTATGATGCTTACTATCTAGCAAGAATAAAAGACGTAACCTTCACAAGAAAATCATGGAGGTTGACTCATATGACATCGTTTGGCATTGAAAGTTCTTTTGTTCTAAATGTGATCTTTCACATTTCACCTTCGGCATGGCCTGTGAGCCAGGCGGCCCGGAAGACCATGGGTCGACTTGGCCTAACTAACTGGTGGATAGTGGGATAATTCGTAAGCTCGGTTGGTAGGTCTCGGGCTTTGTCCATGGTCTGGCCTAATGGCTTGCAAAAGGGTTCCTCAAGTTAAATTTTGAGCCTAATACGTAAACTTTTTTTTAATGATTATAATGACGATGAGATTCGAACACGGGATCTTGCTTCTGATTTTATATTAAATAATTATTTATTCAAAAAATGTAAATTGTTAAAGAAGGTGTAAATTAAATTACATTTGACATAATTTTTAAAATTAAAAGTACGCTTCAAAGATGGATTAGTATGTGAGATCATGATCCACAATTGACACATAAGACTCACTATTTACTAGAGAATAGAGAAGAAAGAAACAAAGCATGTCCTAAGAGTGAAGCCTATTGCGAGATCGACGCCTTTGCAGACGTGGTTTTTAGAGTTGAGACCTTTTGACGAAGTCAAGTTAGTTTTGGGCCACCAAACCATGGCCGACAACTTGGTCAATCTATCGAGGGGAGGAGGAAAGGAAGGTTTGGTAAACTTACGATTAAAAGTGCTTTTTAATGCGGCAGTGCACCTACTTATGTTGTCAGTTTAAAACTTTGTTACCTAAACAACGTGGTGCGGTATCAAAATTCAAAATTTTTGGTATTATATCAAATTTAAAATTTATTATATTTTTGGTAATTTTTATTATATTTTTGAGTATTTTTATTACTGTTATGATACTCACAAAAATGGTAAAAATAGTTATTACAAATGTGATAAAAACATTTACAAATGTAATAAATTACTTACAAATTTTTTTTTATACTTAAGAAAAGTGGTAAAAATAATTATCACAAATGTTGTAAAAATATTAATAACAGTAATAAATTAATTACAAAAGTGATAATTTTTTTTGTTATAAAATGACCTACAAAAATTATAAAAATATATTTTAAAATAATAAATTTTAGAGATATGATACAAGTTTTTTTTAACGGTACCTTGGCTAAATCCGAAGTTTACCAGTAAGAGCGGAGATGCGTCTGCCGCCCAGTCGAAACCACATGCCTCCCGTCCAGCTACTTCATTATCCAAACTGGTAATACGTGTAATTGAATTTATTATAATAATTAAGGATAAAATTAAAAATTAAAAATTTTTGATAGATATTGATATTTATAAGTAAAATAAATAAATATAAATATAAATTGTATCTCTATTTTCTATCCACAATCTTTTTAAAATTTATTTATTAATATACGATAATTTTGAATTTATTTATTGAAATATAATACCTTTTGAAAGTGAGGTTGTTAATTTCGCTTTTATAATATTTTTAATAGACTATATTTTTTTAAAAAAAGCGGAGTTAGTGGGTTATTGATCCCATTTTTTAAAAAATAATATATTTTAATAAATAAATTTAAAAATATCATAATTTAATAATTATTTTAAAATTATGGTATGGTGATACTTAATTCATGACAGGGAAATGTGGTCATCATGTGGAAACGAAACCCATCAACGTGCTTAGGACTGACCGAAAAACGATTGCGTGGCAAAGCGATATATGTGTCCCGAATCGATGGTTCCTAGAGGCAGCTCTGTCCACCACACTCCCAACACACCTAATTATATACTCCCGCCACACGCCTCTCTCTCTCTCTCTCTCTCTCACACACACACACGCACACGCACATAAACACACGAGACCCAACGAGAAATCTCAAGCCTCAAGACTTTTGAAAGGTATGTAAGTTTTCCCAATTCCATTCATTTCCTGGAAAATCCGTATATAAATATGTTTGAACATTGAAATTCGTATATAATTACTCAAAAAGATATCTAAAATTCGAAGTTGTGTATGGTAAATTCGTATTGCCGACGATGAGTTGTTTATAGTGTGCTTTTGACCTGAGATTTTAGGGTTCGATTGTGAACTTCATCTTCATGTATTAATCTTAGTTTTTGAACAGTGATCGTATATCAGATTCACTCTTTTTTGTTTGTTTGTTTGTTTGTTCATAGCGTAGAGTGTGCTTCTTTCCCTTTTGTAATGATCAATAGTGCACAGCTAATTGATTTAAGTTGGTTTCCCTTGGTAATTTTTTTTCATTAGTTGTTGTTGATTGCCTTAATTTGTTTATCAAAACATTCTCAAGAGAGATGTATTTAAGTTGACATTGATTTTGTCATTGCTGAGAACTCAGCATTTAGTACCTGATTCATTGATTGAGGCTGACCATGGAGTCGGAGGTTCCTGTTGCTACAATAGCTGATAAAGTCAACGTGGTGGTAGAGGCCTCAATAAAAGGGTCAGTATATATTTCAAGATCCTCTTGTTTTTTTTAACTGTTCATTTCATTGATTGCATCAGACCTTTCTTTGGAGAATTGAATCCATGGTTCGTGAAATTTACTGAACTTATGGGAAAATTGGGGATACACTAAGAATCTAATTTGGTAAAGGGACTGTTAGTGATACAGAAACTGGGGTTTATGGTAATGAAATTTTGGCAATTACATTAATGATACAGCTGTTTTGTTGCAATCCAACTTCATGATACTGATATATGTACACGTTAAGTTTATATTTTTCACCAGCAAGCCAATATAGACTTAACGAAAAGCAAAGAAGATCCTAGTCATAATTAATCATAATAATTCAATCTAGTATTATATAGCAAGCAATCGATGCTTTCAGAACTACATGAAGTGTGGTAGTCCATAACACATCCAGCAATACAATAAAGTCCCAGTGCACCTTTCTACTGAATAGTTGGCATCCTTTAGCTGGTTTGCAACTAAAGAACTTGTAAAAGACTTGGAACATCCAGAAAGGAAACCATTACTAGACAGATTCAGAAAATAATCCATGTAAAGTAAGTTGGGCATCTTCCACCTTAAAAATGTATATAATTAAGAAAACATTTGTCTAACACCAGGCTGCAGTAATGTGGTAGAGAATAATATTTAACCGGTCGGGTTGTCATTTCATTGTCCAGTAGTTCTGAACTAAGGTAAAGGTCCACCAGAGTAATGCAGCTTTCTTTATAGCAATATTATATACAGTTTGTGAATAGGTATATTTAATTGTGAGGAGTTTGGCTGTAAGCATGTGTGTTTTTTTCGCCTGAAGTTCTGAATCCCACAAAACTGTTGATTTATTTTTGTAGTACTACTTTGACTTTTCAGTTAGCTTTTCCTCCTGAGCCTTATGTATATTCTAAAGTTGAGACCCAAAAAAGGCATCTGAGACATATGTTTCCCTACCTGATATGGACCATATAACATGGCTTGTATGTTTATCAGTTCGGTGACCATTATCTTTTTACTTAAAAAAGTAGTTGTCTATTCGTTTGTTTTCATTTCTGGTCTTCAAGTCTCACTTTATCCTGGTTCTTTAATGGATGCCTGTTCAATTTACAGTAAGTGGAATCCCTGTTCTGCGGAAGTAGGCATTTGTTCCTCCCTGTTATATGGAGGGCTAACTAAACATGCACCATTTCTACTAATGTGTTGTGATATATATAAACTTCACAAATATTTCTCATTGTTTTCCACCATCAAGAAATTGAGGCTGAATTACATGTAGATGTTCTTATCACTTGTTAAGGAATAATGTTATGATGATTGTTTTGGTAGTTGTTCTTTTGGTTGTCAACAAGAATTTCTAGATTCTCAAAAAAAAAAATAAATAAATAAGAATAGAATAAAATAAAGATGACAGATTACTAACCTTTTTACTCTCAATAGCACTTTGGCCCCTGAAAGTTCCAAGTGTATTCAATATATTCCTTCTGGTATTATATTTTTGTGCTAATGGTTCAATTGTAAGCTTCCATTTGAAATTGTAACGAAATAGATTTTCTAACTATTTCAGATTTTTTGATGGAATTTAGCATTTGGATCATTTAAATACAAAGTAAAAAGATGAGGAATTGAAATTGGCACAAATGAAACTTTGGGAATCTAAGTGCCTCGTGCTTATATATTTCACGGGTGACAAGATTATTTAATCCAAAAGACGGATCAAAATAGAAAAATGAGTTCATCACACTACGATAGCTTAACAGTCATCTCTTTTGAACAATATGCCTAACTATATGCAGGACAAAGTTGATATTTCTTTTTTGAATGTTTGACTCTAAAGCTCTTCTTGGTGCAGCTCACATGCTGGCAAGAAGAATCAGGGCAAAGTTCCAAAAAGAATTCACAAGTCTGAGAGGGAGAAAATGAACCGTGAACATTTGAATGAGCTCTTTCTTGCATTGGCTAATGCTCTTGGTAAAGGATCCTTGTATTGATTAGTTTTTTCAAATTGGTTACGTTTTCCATCTGATGCACTTGATAACTACACAGTTTTGAGACCTAATACCATGAGAATCTGACTCTCTTGCAGAATTGACTCACCTGAACAATGGGAAGGCCTCTATATTGTGTGAAGCTACTCGGATTGTAAAGGACATGCTTACTCAGATTGAGTGCCTCAAAAAAGAAAATGCAGCTTTGTTCTCTGAATCTCAATATGTAAATTCCTACACATCCGTGTATTATGCTTATGCTTATCAGATAGTATAACCAAAAGTTCAGAATTAGTGATGTTTAACTTCTACACTTGGCTAATTGATCCAGGATTTCTGAGCACTTTCTTGCAGTAGTCTCATGCATGTTCACAGAAATCAGGACAGTCCTTGTTACACTGACATCTTAATCTGTTCCTTTCATCCACAAATTTGGAAATTATTTTATTAATTTCGGTCCTCAACTCCATCTCCTTATCTAATCTCTTCATTTTTAGAGCCTTTTCATATATATCCAAATATATTTGATATTATTTGTTTATTGTTATAACATTTAACCCTTTTCTGGACAGATGGCTATTGAGAAGAATGAGCTACAAGATGAAAATTCTGCACTAGAGGTTCAGATTGGGGAACTGCAGAGTGAGTTAAAAAAGACATCGGTCCAACCAAATCTTGACCTAAATGTAGCTCCTCCGGAATGTCATCAATTAGAATTGGTGTCACATTCCTTGGAGGACTGTCTCAGATTGCCCGCTGTTGAGCCTGCACAGCAGAAAGCAGCATCAGTAAGCCCCGTTTTTGTCCTCCCCCTCCATTCTGATCTTGCAGTTTATCGGGAGCCTGATACCATGCAGCATGCTCCTCAGCCAATCTCAAATGTGAGGAAACCACACGCCAGGTATCCCACTCCGGCTGATTCATGGCCGTCCCAAGTTCTTGAAAGATAGTTATAATTAGGGAAGGATTTTCAATGTGTTGATAGCAAGCAGCGGATGTAATGGTAGATATAGTGTGTAAGACTGTAAGTGTGTTATTACATAATGATTGTACGTGTAATTTAGTCGAATTCTGCATGTTGTACCCTTTGCATATGGTGAGCTGTCAATTGCACCTCTAGGCTTTAGGCGTTTAGCTTTGTTAAATTAAGGGTGTAGCGGTTGCGAGTGTTAGGGCTACAACTCGGGCGGGTTAGGGATAGGAGCAAAGTTAGAAAAATGTTCTAGGGTAGACATTTTAACACGTTTTACCCTAATCAGTAAAAAGAAGATTGCACATTTATAGTTTTTATTTCATCAATAGTCCTTACATTTTTTATGCATACATGAGTGTGTGTGGTTTGATGTAATCGTGTGAGCCCAAGTAGTGGCGGCCCTTGCACTAGGCTATTAAGGGCATTGTCTAGGGCCCCAAATTATTATGTTACTATACTTAATTTTTGGATTGAATTTAAGAAATTAATGCATTTTGAGCATTAAATTAGTAATAGAGACTAACATTGAAAAAATTCACTAACAATCAAAAAACCACAATTTACACACAATTTATTAGGTACCAAAATTAATTAAATCTCTAGATTAAATACAACTACTAGTCTTAATGTTGACATAGCAACTGCAACCCATTACTTTTAAACTTAAAAATAAATTTACCAATACTGCTAGGTGCTCCTTTGATGTTAGAGTTATTAACAACGTTGGTTTTTGTCCCAGGCACATATTCAGAAACTTTAGATGTTTTCCCATTGTCTCTGAAATCCTCATCATCACTAAAATCTTTATCATCAATCCTTCGGACAACTTTGGATCTCCGAACTATAATAAGAGCTTCATCCTCTTCTTCCAACTTCTTTTGCTTTTCCTCCTTGTTCAGGGCCTCAGGCATTGCATCCACACTAATAACTGCGTGTCTTGACTTCATGGACTTTAGTTCGTCCAATGCACCGATGATGTCCATCTCTCTTTTTGATTCCAAAGTTCTATTCTCCAAAGATCTCATTCCATCTCCCATCTCTTTATTATCCCTTTTGCGTTTCTTATTCTCTACTCCCTCATCCTCTCCATGCCATTGGTCAAAATTTCGCGTTGCACCAGTTTCAACAATGTAATCCGAGTTTTGCGGATCTGTTTTTATTGTAATTTCGACCGAACACTTGGTACACTTTACATAAAATCTAGATATCTGAATTCTTCCTAAATATGTCTCACCAATGACGTTTTCTTTACGCGAATTGAACTTGGTCCCTTTATAGATATAATTACCAGAGGTGTTGCATCGAATGCTCATGGGAAGCATCATCCGAACCTTAATCTGTTGTTTCTTAGATTGTCTTCGTATCTTTGCCGGATCAAAATCTGCCGGGTAGTACTTGTTCAACACTTTCCTCTCTCCCATGTCTTCTTAACAATAAACAATCAAACTAACAATACCAAACAAACATAAAAGATTCAGGAAAAATATATATATCGAAACTTCTCTGGAATGAATGGAAGATTTTCTTGTTCTTCCTCCTGCAGAACTTCAATTGAAAGACTTTCACTCATTCAGTCGTTTAGTATTCGTACCTGGAGCTTGAGGAGGCTTTGAATTTGGGTTGGAAATCTCTGGTTCGGTCTGCTCGGGAGATTGGGAGGCCAAACGAAAAAGAAGATGACGACCAAACGAGACGTTGAAACTTGACGTCAAAACGAAAACGAAGGAAAAATAAAAGGAATCAAAGCTTCTGCCGACTGTTCTACAAAGCAAAAACCTATTTTATAGTTCTTATATAATATAATAATAAACCGACTTTCATATGATTTAAGAAAGCCAAGAAGTTTTATCCAACAAAGATAACTAATTTAAATAATGAACTAACTCTAATTAAGTAATATTCTATTTGGATTAGGATTTGATGGGTTAAGCCCAAGTAGTCCAATTTATGTATTAAAGCCCAACCCCGGTTGAGGAGCCCAACCTCATCGTGAACCCACCAAGTCCAAGACAGACCAAGGCCGACTAGACTTCTTGCTTAGCACGTCACCAAGAGGAGAACACGGTTAGACTTCTTGCTTAGCACGTCACCAAGAGGAAAGCACGGGAAGTTTATCTGCACCGCCCTAAGGAACCCAAGGCTGGTTAGACTTCTTGCTTAGCACGTCATCAAGAGGAAAGCACGGGAAGTTTATCTGCACCTCCTTAAGGAGCCCAAGGCTGGCTAGACTTCTTGCTTAGCACGTCACCAAGAGGAGAGCATGGGAAGTTTATCTGCAACCACCGAAGGAAGAAAACGGTCCAATCATTGACCACGTTTCATGAAGAGCTCCCCAACCTCTTCCTTCCGTGGAGGATAAGTCGCGATCTCTACCAAAGATAATCTCTAAGCTGCGATAAAGAAGCCTTGAGGATATGTCATGATCTCCACAAAAATTATCTCTTAGCTACTATAAAATGACTCTAATCTGGGAGAGGAGGAACACATGCTCCATCAAAGACTTACAGAAGACGAACCGACTACCGGAGATTACTATTGTCTTTGATTCTCCATTCTCCCTCTCAAAGCTTGTATCTCCATTCTCCATACCATTGAATCAATAAAATACCCGGCAACTGAAGCCATTGAAGAGTGGACGTAGGTCGAATTGACCGAACCACTATAAATTGTGTCTTCTTTAATTCTTTCGTTGATTTCATTGCATTTATTATCTATACTTGACAGGTGGTGTGCAAAACCAATTTTGTGCATCATCAGGATTAATTAAGAAATAATAATAATTAATTAATGAGAGTTGTCTATTAAAAAAATAGAAATTAAACGACATTTTATAATAATAAGACTAAATTACCCCTTAAGCAGTTGCTACTCCTAATTAAAACAGGTTTAAAAGTTAAAAACTCATAAATTTTAGGGTATTCAACAAAGTCCTTCTGGTATTATATTTACCCATAGATCAATGTGGTGTAGTCGTTACCCATAGATTTGTAAGGTTTGGTTCAGCTCTCATATTCGTGGAGGAATTAGCCACAGAATGATGTCTACCACAAACAAATCTGAGTTGCAACTCGGTTATATGGGTAAAACCTGTACAAAACCTAACTGTAAAGTACAATGCAACATGAAATCAGAAAGGTACAATACAACGTCTAAATCCGTGGAAAGAAGTTCGAATATGCTTCTGCATCATCGGAAAAAAGAGTTGGGGAAAAGGAGAAAGTGGCCCAAACACCTTCTAGTGTGCAGGTGGGGGAGGTTAAGGAAGAATATCAACCTCCTTGAACTGTGCTTAAAATGAAGTGTCTCCATAGTGTTTTACCTAAATGATACCCGAAAGCTTTAGTTGATGAAATATCACCCAAGATGCCTCTTATTCTCGTCGGCAAGAACCTGCACCATTTCAGTTAGACTCAGAACCCACATCCGTTTGATCAACATTCATCAACTGACTTATGATTTCTTGAGCTTCTGCAAGTGCCGACTCCTTTTCATCTGCGGCGTATAATATCTTCTTAATTGCCACAGCTATCTGCAGGAAATTGCAAATTGAGTTCACGTTATAAGGCAGTGTTGATTATGGTTCATACCAAATTAAAAACAATGTTAAAAGAAACAAACCTATTTGATAATTTACACCAGAGAGGACTTTTCCATATAACCAAGGGAGGAACAACGAGGCCGACGAACAATTTACACATGCAGCACTTACAAACCCTGAAGGGTGTTTTTGAGTATGTTTCTTCTAAATAATTTTGGTTGACTGGATAACTCAAAATGATGAAAAGCAGTTTATTTTGAGGAAATACAAGACTCCTAAATCAACATGGGAGTGGTCATTTCTGAGTAATAAAAATAAGCCAGTAAAATATAACCAGTTGTGAGGCAACCAATTGTTAAACAAAGGGTATTTAAAATGGAAACCACGAATCTTGAAATGTAGATATATTGATATTTCTTTGGATAATGCTCTTTGATTGATGACAGTGACAACAGAAATGAACCCTTGACCCAACCCTGCACTTCAGATTTCTTACATGGTTCAAAATGCATTGATGGCTCTCAAGGAAGGGAAACCACCACAAAAAAAATAGGCATACAATCTAAAGAAGCACGTTTGATGAAAAAAATGCAAAGAACTAAAGATTTCAATGATAATTAACATCTTTAAAATGAGTAAAAAGAAAATCAGAATCAAAACCATGCAGATCAAACATGAAAGACCAAACAAGGATACACGAGCCGTAGAAACCGTGGAAGTAAAGTCAAAAGCAATAAGAACTCTTACTGGCAGATGCTCCAATTCAGGAGTCTGGCAAAGTATTTCAACATCCCGTAATTTCGCAAAATAGAGATCTCTTTCTTTTTCCAAAAGGTTTACAGAAAGCTTGAGATCTGTAATCTGGATGATTATATCAAAAAACAAATCACAGACATATATTGTCAAAAAAGGAGAAGGATCAGAAAGGACCAAATTTTCCTATATTTAGGATGGTTCAGAACAGAAAGCAATGGGAAAACTATAAGAAACCGATGAAACTAGTATATACACCTACTTAACTGCAATATGCAGTTAGAGCCAAGTCCTAAATGTTTCAGATTCTCAGTAATTCATGGTTCAAACTCATCAAACATTGTCATGTGTAATTGTATAAATTACATACCCTCCAAAATGAAGTACATTGATTTGATCATTGAGATGCACGAAAGAAGCAAACTTCAAAGAACCCTAAATGCTATTACCTCTGTGGACAAAGCTTGAATTTCCTTTGATGAATCAGCCCCCACACCTATAGTGTTTGCTTTGCCTTCTTTGGTCCCTGCAGCAATAGATACCAACCAGCCATGCTACGGATTGATAAATACATGAAAATACAGGAAACACTATAAGAAAAGAAATCATGGTATAAGCTAACCAGAAATTTTATTAATGCATACTGCATTACCCAAGCCAGGGTTATAACATTTGTTTGCTTGCAGTGACTTCGAGGTCCTAAGAGAACCCTTGGGATTTCGTTCCTTATTGCCCTTACTTCTACGGTCCACAGGATTATAATTCCTGGAAGACTCAAAAAACCTTAAGAAACAGATAGACTGCAAATAAAATTGAGTCAGACTGAGAATGATGTCCAAAGCATTTAAGAGGCAGTATTATACTCATTCATAATGCCACCATTTACAGAATCACAATAACGTTTCAGCCATTGCAAAAACTCCAAGTTGTCTAAAGGTCGACCCTTTACAAGTTTGTTGACTTCAATATGCTGCCATCCAAAAAAAATTAAATCAATGTAAGGAGACATTTCCAGATATCACTAATGCACCTCCCCTATCCAGTTTCCATACTTATGTCAAGGTAAATATTGACAAAACTACTTGCTGCTAATCAGTAATCACTTGACAATATGCTCCATGCGCATGGATGTAGCATTGTGTTCATGACAAGCGTATTTTAAATGCATCGCTCCCGACAAGGCAACAAAACAGCTTAACTAACAAAAGTAGCATCAACCTATCAAAAATAATATATAACCAAGAAAACCGCTTAATGCACATTGCACACCCCAATTATCAATGTTTTTAATGTGCTTTTTCTTTTTTGGCTGGGGAATCAGGGGAATGTTCTTGACAAGTTGTTGTGGAAAATGGCAATGATAACAAAAGCTTCTGTTATCAGATACCTAAATTGACAGATATCTAGCTAAATCACCATATTCTTGCTCCTAACATGGCCTCATATTCCATGTGACCAGCCAGTAGACCTGAATTCACAAAAAATCCTCTTTGTTGAGAATTGTCATTGAGCAATATTTCAACAAAACCATACCATTCAAACTGAGCATTTGCAGCCACAAGAAGAGAAGCACAAGATCAACACTGCCATAAACAGGAGTAATTTTCCTTAAGTCAAATGACATATTTGGATAAGAGGAAGGTAAAATATTAATACGCAGACTATGACAGGAGACGGGCTTCAGCTGAAACGGAAGTAAAAGAGCAGTGTTAAGCAAAAAGATTTTGCACTCAGCGGGATGTTGTCAAATTTTCAGCCTCTATACGGGGTAACTGGAAATTTGCTGGTTGCAGACCATTTTTTGGAAGCAGCAGTGAATCGTTTGTCATAGAACAACACGAAGAAGAAGAAGACGACAACTGGGTGAATCCAGCCCTCACGTTGTTCCTCTTCACCTGTCCCTAATTCCCAATCAATTTTGTTGAAGAAATTTTAGGGTTAAACATAAATATGGATCAAGTGACAATTGATTATTATTGGCATATCCAATTTCTTATCCAATTGATCAAATATAACATCTTATAATAGATCCAAAATGCAAAATTTCACTAGAGCATTCCGCTTCTGGCTTAAGTGAGAAGTGCTTGCCTTGGATGCTTAATATTTGCTTCGCCGGGACACTCCAGGTGACCTGGGCTCGCTTCTTGCCTAGGCGATCACCTATCGTGCTTTTAATAACACTGCGTGGGGACTTCATAATGTAATAGACAATACCCCTAATGAGATCATAACACACGGATGTCATCAAACTGGCCAATCACCAAGATTGCTTTGGCAAATACCAAGTTGTTATCTTTTAAAGTTTTCATCAGTCGTGCTGAAAAAATAACTGATACAAGAAACCTCTCCCTCAATTAGCACAGGAGTATATGTTATAAAGTACCACTGAACAAAATATAAGGTTTATCTAAATGAGCTATACTGGTCAATTTGGTAAAAAATCCTAACAATGATATCAAATTTGAAGCAAAAGCCAGGCATTTCCTTGAAACATGAAGCAGAGTAGAAAGGCAAAAAGCGTTGCAGTAACTTCATGAAACTGGGTCATTATTTCGAAACTACTTGCAGGTGTAAACAATAATGGTGGCACTAAGGCCAAGGGAACGGACCCTATCATCAACCATGGCATTGGAGCTTCAACTGAAGGCTGAGAAGCTATTACAAGAATCCAACTAGAAATCAGTTATAGCTTAATTTCAAGGAATCCCTCAAAACCCTACCAGAAGTAGGAATTCTAGGTCAAACAATAAAATTACCTATTTAAATAAGGCATATACCATCAAACATGAAAATAACAATGCTAAAAGAAGAAAGGGGGGGGGGGGGAACCAACATCTTTGTGTGCATGGATAAATGATATGAAACACACGCGTTTGAAGGATAGAACTACCTTGTCAATTTTGAGTTTGTTAAAGATTTCCTGCAGAACTTTGTAATTTTGGATCATATCGTATTCGGTCTTTGCATCAAAATTCACCTATGGTAAACCACATTAGGTCAGAAATGCCATTAAACAAATAACAATATAAAAGATGCACACATAAGGAACATTAACAAAGAAAGACAAGAAATCACCTTCTGCATTGGAACAATTCCTGGATGGGTCATGTCCATCATCTGACATTGCACAGCACCAGATGCGGCCTGAACAGAGGTTTCCAGATGCAAAAATTAAGAAGTTAGTATTTCCTTTGTCAAAAGAAAATATGAGAGAGGCTGCACAATGTGCATTTTGCTTTCCATTTCATTGATTAATGAAACAAATGAACTCAAATAATTGACTGATATGGAACATAATAACACTTGGAGGACGTATTCTCTTTTGTGCTCTAGTTTCAAAGAAGGAATCATATGCCAAAGAATCAGCATGATTGCTGCAATCCCTAAATCAATTCAGATATCATAGGTGAATGAAGAGACAGTTCACATGTTACATGAGCACAAGCATTCAACAAAACAGTAAATTCCACCAATTCGATTGCACTCTGTGAACAGGTTAACCATCATGTAATAAATTGCCATTAGTCAACCATGAACTCTCACCATCATTAGCTTCACTTCCGAAAGTGTCCTCATCTCCTCAACTCTTCACTGATTAATGCAAGCTATAGTTAAGACAGAGCTAACGTACTAGCTTAATACCTTCTGCATCAAGGATATGCATCATTGCAACAGCAGTAGATGATAAAGACGTCGTGTTTTTTTTTATTGGTTTTGCAACCATAGAGCAGATATACAGAACATGGTGGGGATTACAATGCCAAAATCCGCACACTGCAATCCAAAAAGGTGTTTCTTTACATTGGGAGTGTCTCCATTTCACCTTTTCGATCATTTTCTGTCCATTCCAATCACCTGCAGTTGATCAAGATCAAGGGCGGAGCCTCCCTTGGGCTAGTGCCCACCCTCAATTTTTTTTTGCTTCATATTAAGCATGTATTTTTTTTAAATAAAATTTAAACATATTGAATTATGTCTATCCTAATATCGTGTTTTGATGATATTGATTTGAATAGACCCCTACTTAAATGATTATTAACTTTTTGAACAACGTTATTGAAACTTACTTTAAGAACCTAATAAATTGCAATATTAAGTAAAATACTGAGTAGTAATATTTAATAAACTCTACTATCTATCCAATGGTCACAAACTATTGAATTTTCATCAATTAAATCTCAAATTAAGTACAACTAATATAATTGTTAACTTTTAGACATGTTCAAATATGTTTTGAACATATTGATATTATTTTATAATTTTTTTAAATTGTAGGGTTATTTTGTTAGTTTATAAAAATGTATGTCGTTATGTAGTAAACTATAAGATCATAAATGAAAGATTGTTATCGCGATTTTGTATATTAAAGAAAGAGTAATGCTATTAGGACATAATTTATAGACATACTTTGAGAACATAATGATTTGACACCAATAATATAATAATAAATTTATTTAATGCTACAATGGGACTCATTATTAAATATATTTCATTATCATTTCATTGATGATAACTGATGTCTCCAAATTATGTCCCTCAATTATGTCCCAATAGCATTAGTATAAAAGAAATATTGTTGATAAAATTAATTTATAACTTTTTCAAATAATAAAAATATAACAGGGTCAATTGTAAGTAATAATTATTAGTCACATTATCGATATGAAATTTTAATTATTATTTTTTTGTTCATGTTATGTATATCGATTTTTAATCTTCTATGTTTTAAAGTATTAAATATAATTTTAATAAATATAAATTTATGAATTTTTACCGTGTATTAAAAAAAAATTAAAACATGCTGGTTTGCGCCTAAAATTTTTTTCCTCGCTCCGCCTCTGATCATGATGAAACAGAGAACTCCATCTTCAAAAAGATAATAGTTTCCAAGGGGGCCAAAACAAAGAATAAGCTATGAAACACAAATCCTCCCCCTTATACACAACGACCCAGCAAGAAAATTTAAAGAAACACCGACTCTAATAAACCACATGAAAGAAGAGATTTCGTCAATGCCCGAAAATACTAAGCATGAATCCATAAAGCAATTTTTTGATAGGCAATCCATAAAACAACTGAATCAACTTCAACTATCATCATGACACTAGACCCTGACATATTCATGCATAAAGGCACTCAATTAAATTGATAGTACGAACTACATATTCCTGAGATACAATGATGAAAAAAACCCTATTGCGGAAGAAACAAACACACGGAGAGAGAGAGAGAGAGAGAGAGAGGACCTCCTCAACGCGAGATAGATTGAGCTGAAGCCTGTCATTGATCCAAGAAAGAATCTCATTCCTTCCAACAAAATACGCACTGTCCATCATCCCTATCGTAGCCATCTCTGAGAATATATATCCACTATTCAAATTTCAAATGCAAATGATCACAATTTCAGAGAGATGAGATGTGTTATATACAGAATCGAATGGGTGTTGAGGTTATATATTATGCAGGCGAAGATGCGAAAAGTTAGGGTTTTGAAGTTCAGAAAATGGGAGCATTAAAGAGAGATTAATAAGGAATGAATGGTAACAGACAAGGTTTCTGTTTATTTTCTGAGAGAGAGAGAGAGGGAGAAGAGAGAGAGAGGAAAACGAAAACGTAAGAAAACCTGGCCTGCAATGGCATATCCGGCCAGCCTGGAAAAGGAACCCACTTTTTTTTTAAAAGTTCAAAAAATAAGAATTTATTATTAGGATAATTGCACTAAGGTACCAAAATATATAATTTTTTTTATTTTAGTCCTTAATATTTTAATTGCATATTTTGGTCTAAAAAATATTGAATATATTTTTATGTAATCTCTTAAATAAATAATATTTAAATTACTAACAATTTTTTTTTATAAATTTATCAAGTGATATCTAAATATAGGTAAAAAATAATTTGGTAACTCTTTGACGAAAATTTAGATAGTCTTTGACCAAAAAAATGTGTTATATGAATAGATTTTAACAAAAATTTGGATAGTTAATAATCAAAACTGTGTAATTTGAAAAAAAAATTGGTTAAGATCGAAATTATTTTTTTGTCTATATTAAAAGTATTACATGACAAATTTATAATAAAAAAATATTAATAATCTGAACACTGTCCACTTAACAGACCACATATAAATATATATTTCATATTTCAGGGGTTAAAATAATATAATTAATATATTAGAGACTAAAACAAAATAAATTTCATACTTGGTGATCTCCAATACAAGTATCCCTTCTTCCTAATCAGTTAAAAGAATTATTTATTATTATATTTTGTTGTTAACTTTAAGTTTTAACAAGCATGAGTGGAATGTTTTTGTATAGTAAACTGTCTCAATCTTTGTTTTTTTGGGTAATTTGATACTAAATTTTGTACATCGCACGATCTCTTCCCATTTTTTTTTTTAAATTAAATTGAATTTTATTGATAGAAATATATGAACCCTTACACATAAGAAAAATAGAGAAAAAAAAAACCCTCAGATAATACATCAATACTGTAAATTAATTTTTTATCACATAATCCTAAATTATTTATACACTAATTTTGGAATATTTCACTCTGTTTGGAAAATTATTGATCGTTTAAAAAATTTCAAGATAATTTGATCAATGTTTCAAAATATTTTAAAAATAATTTTTTAATTACTATCACAAAAATATAGCGATAACAAAAAAAAAAAAACTATCACTCAGCTGCTTCACGTATTACAAAAGCTGTATTGCCCCGAAAGACACATGCAACAAGAGAGCGTAGGTCAGTTTTAGGCTTATGAGGCACTACCCCAATATAAAAGAAGGGAAGGATTAGGAGTAGAAGCTAATTCTGAATGATTACGAGACAAATTTGAATTTCTGGGCCGCGTCTTTCACATGATAAAAACTCTTGATGCACTATCGCAGGCGCCAAATCAACAATTGGGGTTTTTTAATAAATTGTTATTATATTTTTAAATTACTTTCAAAATATTTTAATATATTAAATAATTAAAATAAAGCATCAAAATAAAAATTATATCCTTGACCGAGAGAACAACATGAAATCAAAAAGATACAATACAACGTCTAAATCCGTGGAAAGAGTTCTAATATGCTTCTGCACCATCGGAAAAAAGAGTTGGGGAAAAGGAGGAAGTGGCCCAAAACCACTACTAGTGTGCAGGTGGGGGAGGTGAGGGAAGAATATCAACCTCCTTGAACTGGGCTCAAAATGAAGTGTCTCCATAGTGTTTTACCTAAATGATTCCCGAAAGCTTTAGTTGATGAAATATCATCAAGATGTCTCTTATTCTCATCGGCAAGAACCTGCACCATTTCAGTTAGACTCGGTATCCACATCAGTTTGATCAACATTCATCAACTGACTTATGATTTCTTGAGCTTCTGCAAGTGCCGACTCCTTTTCATCTGCAGCGTATAATATCTTCTTAATTGCCACAGCTGTCTGCAGGAAATCGCAAATTGAGTTCACATTATAATGCAGTGTTGATTATGGTTCATACGAAATTAAAAACCATGTTAAAAAAAACAAACCTATTTGATAATTTACACCTGAGAGGACTTTTCCATATAACCAAGGGAGGAACGACGAGGCTGACGAACAATTTACACATGCAGCACTTACAACCCTGAAGGGTGCTTGGAAGTATGTTTCCTCTAAATAGTTTTGGTTGACTAGATAACTTAAAATGATGAAAAGCAGTTTATTTTAGGGAAACACAAGACTCCTAAATCAACATGAGAGTGGTCATTTCTGAGTAATGCAAATAAGCAAGTGCAATATAACCAGGTGAGAGGCAACCAATTGGTAAACAAAGGGTATTTACAATGGAAACCATGAACCTTGAAATGTAGAGATATTGGGTTTTCTTTGGATAATGCTCTTTGATTGATGACAGTGACAACAGAAATGAACCCTTGACCCAACCCTGCACTTCAGATTTCGTACATGGCTCAAAATGCATTGATGGCTCTCAAGGAAGGGAAACCACCACCAAAAAAATAGGCATACAATCTAAAGAAGCACGTTTGATGAAAAAAATGCAAAGAAATAAAGATTTCCATGATTATTAACATCTTTAAAATGAGTAAAAAGAAAATCAGAATCAAAACCATGCAGATCAATCAAGAAAGACCAAACAAGGACTCACGAGCTGTAGAAACTATGGAAGTAAAGTCAAAAGCAATAAGAACTCTTACTGGCAGATGCTCCAATTCAGGAGCCTGGCAAAGTATTTCAACATCCCGTAATTTCGAAAAATAGAAATCTCTTTCTTTTTCCAAAAGGTTGACAGAAAGCTTGAGATCTGCAATCTGGATGATTATATCAAAAAACAAATCACAGACTTGTCAAAAAAGGAGATGTATCAGAAAAGACCAAATTTTCCTATATTTAGGATGGTTCAGAACAGAAAGCAATGGGAGAACTATAAGCAATCGATGAAACTAGTATATACACCTAGTCACCTACTTAACTGCAATATGCATTTAGAGCTAAGTCCTAAATGTTTCAGATTCTCAGTAATTCATGATTCAAACTCATCAACCATTGTCACGTGTAAATGTATAAATTACAAACCCTCCAAAATCACAGGCCGGCCCAACAGTATTAAAAAAAAAGTATGGGTTTTAGGCTCCAAATTTTTGAAAGGCCCCATAATTTTAAATAAGTAATTAGTCCACATAAAAAATTTAAATCCATGAAAATTTTTGGCCTCACAAAAGGCCCCCAAAAATTTAAGCCTAATAAAAAAATCATAATTTCAATAATTTGAGCCTACAATTCAATTCATAACATTAGAAACTCAAAAATCAAAAATTTTAAAAACAAATAAAAAAAATACTCAAAAGTCAATTCATATTTACTCCCATCCATTCTCTCTCTCTCTCTTAAAAAGCAAAAATAAAGTATCACATCCTCCTCCCTCACATAAAAAAATTAATTTTTTTTTTTTAAAAAATAATACTAAAAATAAAAATGCCTCATTTAGTATTATTGCTTTAAGCCTCAAATTACCTTGAGCCATCCCTACAAAATGAAGGACATTGATTTGACCATTGAGATGCACGAAAGAATCAAACTTCAGAGAACTCTAAATGCCATTACCTCTGTGGACAAAGCTTGAATTTCCTCTGATGAATCAGCCCCCACACCTACAGTGTCTGCTTTGCCTTGTTTGGTCCCTGCAGCAATAGATACCAACCAGCCATGCTAAGGATTGATAAATACATGAAAATACAGGAAACACTATAAGAAAAAAAATCATGGCATAAGCTAACCAGAAATTTTATTAATGCATACTGCATCACCCAAGCCAGGGTTATAACAGTTGTTTGCTCGCAGTGACTTTGAGGTCTTAAGAGAACCCTTGGGATTTCGTTCCTTATTGCCCTTACCTCTACGGTCCACGGGATTATAATTCCTGGAAGACTCAAAAACCTTAAGAAACAGATAGAATGCAAATAAAATTGAGTCAGACTGATAGAATGATGCCCAAAGCATTTAAGAGGCAGTATTATACTCATTCATAATGCCGCCATTTACAAAATCACAATAGCGTTTCAGCCATTGCAAAAACTCCAAGTTGTCTAAAGGTCGACCCTTTACAAGTTTGTTGACTTCAATATGCTGTCATCCAAAAAAAATTAAATCAAAGTAAGGAGACATTTCCAGAATCCAGATATCACTAAAGCAACTCCCCTATCCGGTTTCCATACTTATGTCAAGGAAAATATTGACAAAACTACTTGCTGCTAATCAGTAATCACTTGACAATATGCTCCATGCGCATGGATGTAGCATTGTGTTTGTGACAAGCTTATTTTAAATGCATCGCTCCCGACAAGGCAACAAAACAGCTTAACAAACAAAAGTAGCATCAACCAATCAGAAATAATAAATAACCAAGAAAACCACTTAATGCACATTGCACACCCTACCTATCAATGTTTTTAATGTACTTTTTCTTTTTGGCTGGGGATCAGGGGAATGTTCTTGACAAGTTATTGTGGCAAATTGCAATGATAACAAAAGCTTCTATTATCATATACCAAAATTGACAGATATCTAGCTAAATCACTATATTCTTGCTCCTAACATGGCCTCATACTCCATGCGACCAGCCAAACAGTAGACCTGAATTCACAAAAATCCTCTTTGTTGAGAATTGTCATTGAGCAATATTTCAACAAAACCATAGCATTCAAACTAAGCATTTGCAGCCACAAGAAGAGAAGCACAAGATCAACACTGCCATAAACAGGAGTAATTTTCCTAAAGTCAAATGACACATTTGGATAAGAGGAAGGTAAAATACTAATACGCAGGCTATGACAAGAGACAGGCTTCAGCTGACACGGAACTAAAAGAGCAGTGTTAAGCAAAAAGATTTTGCACTCAGCGGGATGTTGTCAAATTTTCAGCCTCTTTATCGGGTAACTGGAAATTTGCTGGTTGCAGACCATTTTTTTGGAAGCAGCAGTAAATCGTTTGTCATAGAAGATCACGAAGTAGAAGAAGACAACTGGGTGAATCCAGCCCTCACGTTGTTCCTCTTCACCTGTCCCTAATTCTCAATCAATTTTGTTGAAGAAATTTTAGGTTTAAATATAAATATGGATCAAGTGACAATCGACTATTATTGGCATATCCAATTTATTATCCAATTGATCAAATATAACATCCTATGATAGATCCAAAATGCAAAATTTCACTAAAGCGTTCTGCTTCTGGCTCAAGAGAGAAGCGCTCGCCTTGGACGCTTAATATTTGCTTTGTCGGGACACTCCAGGTGACCTGGGCTTGCTTCTCGCCTGGGCGATCACCTATCGCGCTTTTTATAACACTACGTGGGGACTTCATAATGTAATAGACAATACCTCTAATGAGATCATAGTTGTAGAAGCATAACATGCAGTGGTCATCAAACTGGCCACTCACTAAGATTGCTTTGGCAAATACCAAGTTGTTATCTTTTAAAGTTTTCATCAGTCGTGCTGAAAAAATAACTGATACAAGAAACCTCTCCCTCAATTAGCGCAGGAGCATGTTATAAAGTACCACTGAACAAAATATAAGGTTTATCTAAATGAGCTATACTGGTCAATTTGGAAAAAAATCCTAACAAAGTCGAAGCAAAAGCCAGGCATTTCCTTGGAACATGAGGCAGAGTAGAAAGGCAAAAAGCGTTGCAGTAACTTCATGAAACTGGGTCATTATTTCAAACTACTTGCAGGTGTAAACAATAATGGTGGCACTAAAGCCAGGGGAATGGACCCTATCATCAACCATGGCATTGGAGCTTCAACTGAAGGCTGAGAAGCTATTACAAGAATCCAACTAGAAATCAGTTATAGCTTAATTTCAAGGAATCTCTGAAAACCCTACCAGAAGTAGGAATTCTAGGTCAAACAATAAATTATCTATTTAAATAAGGCATATCCCATCAAACATGAAAATAACAATGCTAAAAGAGGGGGGGGGGGGGGGGCACGGTACCAACATCTTTGTGTGCATGGATAAATGATATGAAACACGTGCGTTGAAGGATAGAACTACCTTGTCAATTTTGAGTTTGTTAAAGACTTCCTGCAGAACTTTGTAATTTTGGATCATATCGTATTCGGTCTTTGCATCAAAATTCACCTATGGTAAACCACATCAGGTCAGAAATGCCATTGCACAAATAACAATATAAAAGATGCACACATACGGAACATTAACAAACAAAGACAAGAAATCACCTTCTGCATTGGAACAATTCCTGGATGGGTCATGTCCATCATCTGACATTGCACAGCCCCAGATGCGGCCTGAACAGAGGTTTCCAAATGCAAAAATTAAGAAGTTAGTATTTCCTTTGTCAAAAGAAAAGATGAGAGAGGCTGCACAATGTGCATTTTGCTTTCCATTTTCAAAATGTTGCTTATCCATTGATTAATGAAACAAATGAACTCAAATAAGTGACTGATATGGAACATAATAACACTTGGAGGACGTATTCTCTTTTATGCTCAAATTTCAAAGAAGGTATCATATGCCAAAGAATCAGCATGATTGCTGCAATCCCTAAATCAATTCAGATATCATAGGTGAATGAAGAGACAGCCCACATGTTACAGCAGCACAAGCATTCAACAAAACAGTAAATTCCACCAATTCGATTGCACTCTGTGAACAGGTTAACCATCATGCAATAAAATGCCATTAGTCAACCATGAACTCTCACCATCATTAGCTTCCCTTCCGAAAGTGTCCTCATCTCCTCAACTCTTCACTGATTAATGCAAGCTATAGTCATTCAGACAGACCTAACCTACTAGCTCAATACCCTCTGCATCAAGGATATGCATCATTGCAACAGCAGCAGATGATAAAGCGTCTTGTTTTTATTTTTTGGTTTCACAAACATAGAGCAGATATACAGAACATGTTGAGGATTACAAAGCCAAATTTCGCACACCACACTCCAAAAGGGTGTTTCTTTACATTGGGAGTGTCTCCATTTCACCTTTTCGGTCATTTTCTGTCCATTCCAATCACTTGCAGTCGATCAAGATGAAACAGAGAACTCCATCCTCAAATAGGATAATAGTTTCCGAAGGGACGAAAACAAAGAATAAACTACGAAACACAAATCCTCCCCCTTATACACAACAACCCAGCAAGTAAATTTAAAGAAACACAGACTCTAATGAACCACATGAAAGAAAAGATTTTTAAATAGAGATTTCGTCAATGCCCGAGATTACTAAGCATGAATCCATATAGCAAATTTTTGATAGGCAATCCATAAAGCAACTGAATCAACTTCAACAAACATCATGAAATTAGACCCTGACACATTCATGCATAAAGGCACTTGATTAATTGGTAGTACAAACTACATATTCCTGAGATATAATGATCAAAACCCTAATGCTCAAGAAAACACACACATAGAGAGAGAGAGAGAGGGGGCGGACCTCCTCAACGCGAGAGAGATTGAGCTGAAGTCTGGCATTGATCCAAGAAAGAATCTCATTCCTCCCAACAAAATACGCACTGTCCATCATGCCTATATTCTAGTAGCCATCTCTGAGAATCTATCTACTATTAAAATGCAAATGATCACAAATTCAGAGAGATGTGTGATATACAGAATCGAATGGGTGTTGAGGTTATATATTGTGTAGGCGAAGATGCGAAAAGTTAGGGTTTGAAGTTCAAAAATTAGGAGCATTAAAGAGAGATTAATAAGGCATGAATGGTAACAGACAGGGTTTCTGTTTATTTTCTCAGCGAGAGAGAGAGAGAGAGAGAAACGAAAACGAAAAGGAAGAAAAGCTGGCCTGCACTGGCATCCCGGCCAGCCTGCAAAAGGAACCCACTTTTTCTTTTTTTTTAAAGTTAAAAAATAAAAAAGTTAGGGAAAAATTTCATACACGCTTCTCCTTTTAACTCTAAAACTTCACTAAATCCCCTGCTAATTTATATTTTCAAAAAAAGAAATACTCTTAATGGTAATTTTAATTCTATCGGTACAAAAAATAATAGTTTGAGCATAAATTCTTTAAAAATGTCAAAATTATTATTTTTTATATAAATATACTAAAATACCCTCAACTCTTTTTCTACTATATATATCATTACCATCTGATATTGCTGGAAGACATAGGAGACCGAAATCAGCTATTCGTCTTCAACTCGTTCTCTATAGTGATCGATCATATATATAAGTTGGTAAAAAAAAAAATATTTTTTTTCTTACAGATTTTCATGCAAATTTAAAAAAAAAAATTCATGCAATTTTTGTTATGAATTTTTTTTTAAAAAAAATTTCATGTAGTTTTTTTAAAAAAAAATTTCATGCATATATTTTAATTTTTTTCATGTAAATTTTTTTTTAATTGTGTTCATGCACTGTTTTAAAATTTTTTTGTTATGCCAATATGTTGTGTTAGGATTGATGTATTTTTCAACTTTTTGTGGAAACAGAGATAGAGATTAATGTCTATGTCAAAATCTCATCCATTTTTAAATTTTTTGCTATCGTCTATCCTCCACAACGTCACCTGATTGCTCTTCATACATCACCCTTCAAATATTAAATTTAAATATTATTTGATAAAATTTTATAATAATTGAATAAATTTGGTCTTAATTTGATAAATTTAATATTAATTTAGTGTTAATTTAATATTTATATTCATTGTTGATTTGATAAAATTTAATATTAATTGAATAAATCTAAATGTTGCTTTAATAAAATTAAATGTCCATTTGATGTTAAATTAAATATTTGACATTAATTTGATAAAGGTTAAACATTAAATTAATGAAATTTAATATATTAAATTCAATTTGGTATTGATTTAATGAAATTAAATAATAATTTAACGTTAA